GACGAGAAGGAAGAGGGGGAAGGAAGAGGTGGACGGAAAGATGGACATGTATTTCGGAAGGCGTAGCATGGAGACGGAGGGAATCTTTTGTTGTTATTATGACGAGGATGAGCAGGAGGGAGGAGGAAGTTGGGAGAGGAGAGGGAAAGGGGGGAGGAGGAGGAGGCGGAGGAGGAGGGCGAGGAGGAGGAGGAGGAGGAATAGGCGGAGGAGGAGGTGGAGGAGGAGGACGTGGGGGGGTGGAGAGGGGATGTGGTGACTGAGAAGGCCCATTCCCTTCCCTCGTCCCCTCCCTCTTCTTGGTATTCGTCGTCCTCCTCTTCCCCCGCCATTCCTCATCATCCTCCCCGCCTCCTCCTGCTCCTGCTCCTGCTCCTGCTCCTGCTCCTGCTCTTCCTCCTCCTCCTCCTCCTCCTAGTTTCTCCTCCTCTACCTTCCCGTTCCGCCCATCCTCCATTTCCGCACCATCCTCCTCGTCTCTCCTGATCCTCCATCCTCCTCCTCCTCCTCCTCCTCCTCCTCCTCCTCCTCCTCCTCCTCCTCCTCCTCCTCCTCCTCCTCGTACTCCTCGCCCCTCGCGTCCCCCGCCCGCGTTCCCTCGCGCCCTCGCTTCGCCCCGACGGCCGTGGCTGCCGGCCCGAGCAAGAGGTGAAGCAGACCGCCGCAGACAGCGGGGCCCGCATCACGATGTCCTCCCGCGAGGAGAGCGCCTCCCCCCCTTGGCGACTGCAGAGGGACAGAAAAATAATGATAGAAAGGAGAAGAAGGCAAATAATAATAACAATCAGGATGCTAACATAACAGTAATATTATGAATACTCATCAGGATACTAAGAGTAAAACGTAAGAAGAAGGATGAGGAAAGAAGAAGGGAGGGAACAGAAAGAAGGAAAAGGGGGGATATAGCGAGAGCGCGCGACGACGACGACGACGACGACGACGACGACGACGACAATCGCGACGATCACGACGACACCCACCGCGCTCCCGCCGCGCCTGGTTTACACAGGCACGCACCGATCCGCGCCCCCGGGTGTGGTTGCGCCGGGTATGGTCGCGACGATAGGGGCGGAGCGAATCGCCCAGGAGAGGGCAGCACGTGTAGCCCGGGGCGCCGACGGTCCATGCCTTCGGCTAGGCTCTCAGAGGGACACGCGTGATTCCCGCCCCGGGGCTGTTCGCCCTTCTCGTCGCCTCCGGGCCGTTGTGGCTTGGGGGGTGGCGCCACCGCTGCTCCTCGCCCGCCCCCCAGGGTGCGGGGTGCCCGCGCTCCTCGGCAGGGGTGGACCTAAACGGTGTTCTGGCGATTTCGTGGGCCGTTTTCCTTTCGATTTCGTTCTGCGACGCAGGCGGATTGGAGGCAAAAGCGGGGGCACACGACGACGAAAGACACCGTTGAGGTTCGGCCCGGCTCCTCGGGGCGCGGCCGAGAACTCCGTCGAGTTCCTCGCCCGCCCCTCGGGGTGCGGGTTGGCGACCCGCACCCCGAGGGGCGACGCGCGTGCGATCCGCCCCGTGGGTGTCCGCCGCGCTGGCGACGCGCTCACCAAAGTGCCCCCTTGCGAGGGCGACGTGCACGCTCGAGAGGGCGGTCGCTTCACTGGGCCTCAACACGGGTTGCGGGGCGCACCCGCGGCAGGGCACCCCCCTTCGGAGTCGTCGACGCTCCCCCCCGCTCCTCTTCCGGGCGCCGGGGCGAGCGAGCGTGGGCCCCCTCTGGGGCGCCCTTCTCCGTCGGTCTCCCCGGCCACGGGGAGGCAGGAGGAGGGGGAGGAGGAGGAGGAGGAGGAGGAGGCCAGAGGAGGAGGAGGAGGAGGAGGAGGAGGAGGAGGAGGAGGAGGAGGAGGAGGAGGAGGGAGGAGGAGGGAGGGAGGAGGAGGAGAGGGAGGAGGAGGAGCAGGAGGAGCAGGAGCAGGAGCAGGAAGCAGGAGGAGGGAGCAGGAGGAGGAGGAGGAGCAGGAGGAGCAGGAGGAGGAGGAGGATCTTTTGACGTCGCTTCCCCAGGAGCCAGATGGCGCCCCTGGTTCCTCGGGTGACGGATTCCTTGGATGGGGGGGGCTAGTAATTAACTGTTTCAGTGGGGCATCTCAATGGACCTGTCCCCAAGGCAGGCAACAGGCAACAGGAGGATCATGTGACATTACAGGCGGGATTGCCCAGCAGCTTGCCTAAGAAAGGAGGATAATGAGGAAGGACTGAGGGGGGACGAAGCAGAAGGAGGAGGAGGAGGGCGAGAAGGGGAGATGGAATGCACATCGGAGGATTGCGTATGGGGAGGGAGGATGGGGGATGGGGGAGCAGGAGGGGTCGGGGAGCAGGAAGAAAGAGGATGAGAATGGAGACAAGGAGAAGGCTGACCACAGTAAACCCAGCACGCCCTGCTAATGCTGCAGTGCATTTTTCTCTATCAATGGATCGAGGTATAAGTCAGCGCAGGAGTGTGAAATCTCGGCTGCGTAGGGTGAAACACATCATCAGCGTGAGATGGGATCTTCTTCCATATGTTCACACGGTTGGTCAACAATTTAGAAAGCTATACGCGGAGCGCGGTTTTGAAAAGGTACGACCATCCAACATTGCAGCTGTTTTGCTCATGCTGGATAATGAGATGCGAGGAAGTCTCGGGCGAGAGCCCAGTCTTGAACACAGTTGTTGTTCGCATCCGTGTAGTTGTTGGGTCCGTGACGCTTTCAGAGCACAGAAGGCAGGACGTTTGCAGCGGGAGCCTGATGCTTCGATCGATGCTCAGGCACTCTGGCAGCAGGACGCATACGGAAGCCTCCGGCGACAGCCTGATGTCGAAAGCAGCGCGCCTTCTCATGTGCCAAGCCTCTCGGATCAGGCAGCCTCCAGCGAGAGCATGTCTTGCAAGCGGGTCACCGACCAGCCGCTAAGTCTGTGGATTGTCTCAACGTTCGGACCAGGGGTGGCGAGACACGTCGAGGCGACTCGGCCCGACCGCCACACCGGCACGCACGGTGGTGCGGCGAGGAGGAGCCGTCCGGCTGCCCGCGGCAAGCCCCACCGCCGCGCCAGTGCGGCGCTTGCTCTGTCGATGCTTCGAGTGCTGCCCAGAGGGCCACAGCACGTGAGACCTCCTCGTGCCTGTGCCCTGAGGGGCTCTCGTGGGCGGCTGCTGGGGCCGTCTTCTAGGGGACCTCCTGGGCTCCTGCCAGGCGCTCTGGGGCCGTGTCGGAGCTCTCTTGGGCCATCTGGGTGCCGTCATTGGGCCATCTCGGCCGTCTGGGGAGTCTCTTGGGGTTAACTTGGGCGCTTCTTCGGCCCTGACTTGCCCTTGGGGCCCTCTGGGGCTGTCCAGTGTCTTTCTCTGGTCGTCTTTGGGCCCTCTTGGGGCTGTATTGGGCCGCCTGGGGGGGGGGCTTCTAGAGACTCGCATTGGGCTCTTCGGGCTTTTGTCTAGGTCCTCACGGCGGGTCCTGTGTGGTCCTTCTTCTTGAGCCGATGTGCGTGGGAACGGGAGTACCTGCAAACACTTGATGGGGGGGTGCAGGTGTTGGGAGTGACTTGGGTCTATCTGGACTGCACCGTGAAACTCTCGGTGGTGTCTCGGGAGCCTCGCGGTGCTCCTCGGCGTGTCTCGGGGTCTTGTTGGGTGCGGTTGGGTGCCTCGTGAGGCAGGGCCGGACCGCCTTGGCGACCTCGGTGGCCGTCCCGGCTCGCCTCGGAGGCCTCCCGGGGAGCGCCGGGCGAGCCGCCCGGGGAGCGCAGAGAGAGGGAGCCGTGCCCGCGGGGAGCACTGTGACCGGGAGGGAGGGGAAGGGGGCCCTTCTCTCCTCGGGGGCGGCAAAGAGGGGGGGGGACGACTAGGGGAGGGGGGTGGTGGATCTCGTGGCGTGGGCCATGATAGATAGTTCCCCGGCTGTCCTGGCGCCTCCTCTCATCTCACGACGTCCCTGGCCCCCCCCGCTGGGCCGCGCACATGCCGCCGGTCACGATTTGCACCCCCCCCCCTCTTGGGCACCCCCCTCCTGGCCGCTCCCGAGGCTCGGCCGGGCGGCAGTCGGGGGGTGACCTGCGCGGGAGGCGGAGGAGAGGGCCCCCGAAGGGGCACCTCGGGGCTCCTTCGGGGCCCCTGCGGGCTCCCAAAAGGGGCCCTCGGGTGCCCCCTTCCGGGCCAGTCTCTTCGCCCCCCCCGTTCCAGGGCACCCCCCATTGCCACCCGCCCGACCTCAGAAGATTGACCACCCCCCATTACCACCCGCCCGCCCGAAAATAGATCTAACACCAAAAATAGATCTAACAGTACAAGTTCTGTTTTATAGATCTGCACGGCCTCAGGGTTGCTCAGACAGCACCCGGCATCCTACCAACCGCGCCTCGCGTAGAGAGGCACGGTGGTGGATTGGCAGCGACGGCGAGTGGAGGCTGTGCGGAGGGCAGGGGGAGGGAGGAAGGATCAGGAGAGGAAGAAACACACAGATACAATTAACCCTCGATTCCTCAGAAAATATGGGAAACTATGGAAAGTGGGGGGAGACAGAAACCCAGAAAATATGGGAAACTACGGTGAATATTTTTATTTGTGTGTATTTATTTGTGTGTCCCAGGGCCCCTTCAAAGGAGGAGGACGAGGACGAGTTGCGAGCAACCTGGGGCGCAACCGAGTTAGGTGCGGCAGCGCGGACGCTTACGAGATGGGGCACCCTCGCCCAGTCTCACATCCATCGAGCGAGGGCTGGGAGGTGTAGGAGGAGAAGGGGGAGGAGTACGCCTCCACCAGCCAGGCTTCGTTGATGTCTCCATCGTGGCGGCGTCGTTACGCGAAACAGCATTCCTCTGCGCGGGCATTTGGGCTCGTCAGGGGACATGACGGGGAGAGCGTGGAGGATGCGAGGGGATGGGGAACGGAGGATAAGAGGGAGGATGAGGAGGATGAGGAGGAGGAGGAGGAGGAGGAGGAAGAGAACGAAGAGCAGGATGCTGATGATGGTGACGATGGTGATGATGATGGCAGTAGTGGTGGTGCTGCTGACGATGCCGATGAGGATGAGGATGTCGATGATGGTGATGATGAGCATCAGGAGGAGGGGTGATGGGGAGGGAACGGAGATGGACATGGACACGAGGGGGAGGAAGAGCAGGAGGAGGAGGAGGAGGAGGAGAAGCAAGTTGGGGATGAAGAGGAGACGCATGAGCATAGTGCTGATGCGGGATAGGCGGTGGAGGCTGATGATCCCGATGAAGAGCAGGAGGATGATGACGATATTCACCGTGAGGATTAAGGGGAGGAGTATGACTCAAGCAATCGGAACACAGACACGTGCTGTGGGGTAGAGCGAGTCTGATGAGGCTGATGGTGGTTATACTGAAGGTAGCAGTGGTGATGCTCATGCTGATGTTGATGCTGCTGATGGTGATAATGATGCTGATGATGTTGATGATGGTTATGATGATGATGCTGCTGATGATGGTGATTATGATGATGCTAATGACGATGATGGTGATGATGATTATGATGATGATGCTGCTGATGGTGATGATGATGATGATGATGATGATGATGCTGGTGACTATGATGATGCTGATGCTCATGGTGATGATGGTGCTGATGATGATGACGACGTCGATGATGCTGAGGTTGATGCTAGTGATGATTATGGTATGCTGATGATGCTGATTATGCATGGTAGTGGTACCGGTGCTAATGCTACTGGTGGTGTTGATGTCGTTCAGGATGGCGACTATGACTACGACGATTGTGACGATATTGATGACGGTGAGGATGGAGACTCTGATTATGAGGATGAGGATGCTGATCACACTGATGATGGCGGCGGTGATGCTGATGCTGACGCTGATGCTGATGATGCTGTGGATACTGTTGACTATGGTGATGATGTTGATGTTAATGCTGATGATGATCATGAGGATAATGTTGAGGATGGTGATGCCTATGACGTCGACGATGCTTATGATGGTAATGGTGATGATGAACATTGTACTGAACATGAGGAGGATGAGGATGAGGATGAGGATGAGGATGAGGATGAGGATAATAACAATGATGGTGATAGTGGTGATCATGACGTGCTGTTCATATTGTTTGGCTAATGGGATGGGCTCACATGTGGAAGTACTTGCAGGCTGCCAACATGCCGATGCAGCGTTGCCGAATGTCTTGCCAAATGATTCACAAGCCCGAACACACAAAACAAGTATGGCTCGTCCGTGTAGAAGCTCTGAGGCGGAAGGGGAGGAGGAGGAGGAGGAGGAGGAGGAGGAGCAGGAGCAGGAGCAGGAGCAGGAGTAGGAGCAGGAGCAGGAGCAGGAGGACGGGGAAGCAGGAGGAGCAGAAGTTGCATGAGGATCAGGTTGAGCAGCAGGAGCAGGGGCATCGAGGGGGGATGGTCGAGTGCGGGGAGGGCTAGGAGGACAAGGAGCAGGGGGGAGGGTGACCCGCGGCAGTGGCAGCAGGGAGGCGGCAGTGGCAGCGGCAGTAGGAGATCGCCGCGGGGGGGCAGCCCCGGCCGGGGCCTGTCTCCAGCCTCTCGCAGCCCGTCTCGTCGCGCCTCCGTGCCTCTCTCCACGAACGCTCCCTCGATCCCCTGCTTCTCCCTCCCTCCCTCCCTCTCCTCCCTCCTCCCGCCTCCCTTCCCGCTTCCTCCCTTCTCCTCCTCTCCTTCTCCCTCCCTTCCCTCCTCGCCCCCTTTTTCCATTGCCCTTTCTCCCTTCACCCCCTCTCTCTTAAGACCTCTTGCCCTCCACGCCATCCCTCCCTCTTGCCACTCTATCCTGCCATCCTCCTCTCTCTTTCTCTCTCTTTCCTTCCATCGCGTTCTCTTCCCCCAGCTTCTCCATCGAGGGGGCTCCCACAGACCCACCCGCAGTTCGATTGAGCGCTGGCAGTTCGATTACGGCAGGTTCGTGTGTCGACCCCAGCGTGGACGTTCAAGGTTAGACGCCGCCAGTGCGCCCAAATCGGCCGATATCAAATAGTCCGCGCTATCGGAAAGCCGCGATCGATGAATGATGAACGATCAGCGCGGTGCCAGAAGCCAGTTCTTCGCGACACGAACCTGCTTTGAGCGGCGGTTGGCGAACAATTCAGCCAGGTGGAGTATCATCGGTGATATAGTGTCGTGCGTCCCGGCCACCTTCGCAGATCTTTTTGGTGCTTGGGGTGTGACCCCCTAGCATCTCCCACTGCGAACTTGAGTCTGGGCTGGGTGCTGCTTGCCTGGCCCATGTTCCGCCGCTCGAGCCCCCTGACCCCTGACTTGTGTCCCCGCCGTCCTCCTTATCTCCATCGCATTCTATATACTTTTGTGCTGAAGTTTCAGAATCGCCTGCCTCTTTCGGCCACGCGCAGAGGGGGTAGGGAGAGGGGGGAAGGCTTCTAGAAAGCCTTCCCCCCTCCCCTGACCCCTTGTGCGCGCCGCCAAAGAATCGCCTGCCTCTTCTTCTGGCCTTCATCATTCTGTCCCGCGCCAGGGTGGTGGTGACCGCCGGGCCGTGATCGTGGGCAACTACGGAGTTTGCGTTGGAGCCTAAGCTGGAAGAGAGGGGCTGAGGAAGTTCAGGAGGAGGAGGAGGAGGAGGAGGAGGAGGAGGCGGAGGAGGAAGGAGGAGCTGGACGAAGAGGGGAGGTTTTCCTCCTCCCTTTCCTCCTCCCTTTCCTCCTCCTCCTCCTCCTCCTCCTCCTCCTCCTCCTCCTCCTTCCGTAGCCATTTTGGCTCAAGCCATTTTGGCTCAAGATGTCCACCGGGGGGGTTGTTCAGCCTCCAGGCAGCAGGGACACCGCTGATCCGCGGCCAGATCCAACAACGCGTGCAGCCATTTTGCCGCCGGCGCGCGCGGCCCTCGCATGCCCCCGAATGGCGGCGCTCCCAAGCGCAAGAAGAAGCCTCATGCGACGGGGCGTCCAGCAGCTGTGCGGGGTGGGGCTGATGATGCTGCTTCTGCTGGCGGTCGGGTGGACGATGATCGCTCGAGGTCGAGCCGTAACGTCTCCGAAGCTGAAGATGATGCATACGACATGGCCGATGACGACTGGGGTGCCCACATCAACGGCCTCATTGCCGAGCAGCTCGGCAAGCGCCTCCCGCAGGAGTTCAAGACCCTCAAGGATGACTTGGCCACTATCGCGTCTACCTCCGCGTCCGACGCTGCTGGCAAGGCTGTGGACCCAGTTATGGTTGCCGTCCGCACACTCGAGAACGCGATCAAAGCCGCCCCTGGGAACTGCAAGAGCGAAATGGAAGCTCAACTGCGATCGGAACTCAACGATCTCGAGCAGCGCATCCAGCGCCACTTGGACACCGTGGCTGCCAAGATCGACGACGTGGATGCTCGCACCGAGACCCTCGCCAGGCAGCTTGCCGACATGCAGAGCTCTATGGAGGAAATGCGAAAGGATCTTGCCATGACCAACAAAGTCCCGCAGCCTCCCAAGCCCGCTGGCATTGGCTTCCAGCGGAACGTCGACGGCACCATCCTCAAAGCCGTCGCGCCCACGATGGTCTGTAAGAAAGATGTGGTCACCTCGGTTGAGAAGTGGCTCCAGGACGCTAGGATCGAAGGCTTCAAGATTGAAGGAGATGAACAGGACCGCATCTTCGTCATTCAGTTCACAGGCGCCGTCGGCCTCGCCTGCAAGCGTGTCTCCCAGGCCCTGGCAGCGCTCCGCCTCGGCAAGGGCCAGTGGATGCGTTTCCCCGTGCCCGCTGCTTCTGGCGGCTCCACGCAGCTGCACATCGGGCCAGATAAGTCGCCGCACCAGATCGAGCCCGAGATCGCTGGCAAGAAGGTCACGAACGTGCTCCGCGAGGTGCACCCGCAGTGCAAATTCATTTTCGATTGGCAGAATGGTTGGCTATCTGAGAACTGGAACCCTGTGCTACGACTCGAACCTCAGCCTGGCCGCGACCCCACGCTCTGCTACGTTCACGATGCCGCTCTCACCTCTCGAGGCTGGACGCGCGCTGGTATCAACAAGCCGATCGGGCACATCCTCAAGCCCAACGCGGAGCCATACTGGTCTCTTTAGCAAGTACTATGACATCTTCTTCTACCACAAGGTTGACGGCGGCCTGCCGCCGCGTTGCCAGGAGCTCACGTTTGCGTCGTGGAATGCTCGGGCATTGCTGCAATTCCGTGGCGCGCGCTCGATGTCCAAGGCATCCTACTTGGACCTGATCGGCATCTCGTCATCCGTCGTCGCCATCCAAGAGGTGCACCAGACCCAGGGCGAGCTGGAATTTTACATGCGCAGAGTCGCACCGTCAGCTACTGTCTCTGGTCCTTTCGAATATGAACCTGATGGTGATGTTGAGACAGGTCGTGGCCGAGGTGGTGCGGCTACTATCGTGCCGCTTTCTTTGCCCTCTTCACGCGCTTCTTCGTCCACACCTCTGATCAGGGGCAGAGTCCTGCGGACAATCTCGGTGGGCTCGTGTGCTGAGATTCGCAACCACAATATTCACGGTCATGGGCTCTCGGTGGCAGAAGTTCAGAAGGTGGTCGAAGCAATTCAGGCTGATATGGGTTGGGCTTCTCTCAATCGCAGTTCTCGATCAGGAGTCGCATGTGGCGACCTCAACTTCGCGGCCCACGACGCGCTCCACCTGGCGCAACCGACGGCAGCAAAGCCACGCAAAGTTACGAACGACTCTCGCTCCCACGCTTGATCGGATTTTAGAGGTAGCGTCTGAGGATCCGACTGACTACTGCCAGGACGCGAAGGCCATGTCGCAGAGCGATCGGCTCTGGCTTTCTGACCCGAATTGGATGTCGCGCCAACTCCAGCACTCCGTGTCGGTAGTCTCCACGCCCGAAGAGATGCACGCCAAGGGGCTTTCGGACCACGCGGCGATTCGTGCTCATATTCGGCATCGAGATCTGGATGGCTGCTATCGCAAGCCCGTCCCTGCGCATATCTATAAACGGCCTGAGTTTCAGCGGCGCCTAGGCGTGCTTCTCGACAACGATGGTCAGTTCTTCCTGGGCATGTCACCACCGAGGCGATTATTTCGATATAAGGACTTGGTTCAAGCAGCAGCGTTCGACACAATGCAGAGTATCTTGGTCAACGAGAGTGACTCCCTGGAAGCCCAGTTGATCTTTGTTCGTCAAGCCGCTCGATGCGTCTGGCGGCATAACACTACTCTCGCTCAGAAGTTATGCCATGCCTCTGAAGTTGCGCGATCGTGTTTGCAGGTGCAAGACACCCAGGTCATCATCGCGGACTATGCAGCTTTCCAGGCTTGGGTGGATACTATTCAACTTCGGTCGGCTGAGCTGGAAGTGGAGCGCTTGCAACATGATGCGGTTCACGGGAAAGGTCGTCAGCGTCCATCAGCTGGTACGATTGCAGCGGTGCAACGGAAAACTCGGCTTTGGGTCCCGTTCTCGAAGAAGCTAGCATTGCGTTCCATCGAGGTCGACGGCATCGCCTACACCGACCCCTTCGAGAAGCTGGACGCGCTCACGCGCTACTGGGCACCAATATCTGCCGCTCCCCAATCTTTTCCTGCACGCACAAGGCGCTATGCTGAACGATTCGTGCACCCTTGTGCGTTTGATGGGCTAGTACCTCCGTCTCTTGAGATGCTTCAGCGTGTGCTTGTAAAACTTGCGCCGTCGCGATCCTCTCCCGGCGTCGACGGGCTGCCGTGCGCCGCCTGGGCTGCCCACGAGATGGGCGCGAAGGTCCTCTGGCTCTCATGTGTATGGATGATGGGCGGGCAACGTTTCTTCGCACAGTGCGGCGACACTCTTCAAGCTTTTCTTCCCAGAGGCTGTCAAGCAGGTGACGATGATGCCAGAGGTGTCAACAGGTCCCCTGACACGGTGCGCACGGTCGGGCTACGCAACACGGACATGACAGTTATCTCGGCCACCTTCAACGTCGCCTTCTCCCCGATCGCGCAGAGCTCTACATCGGCAGCGCAGCGTGGATTTATCTCGGGCCGACAATTCACTTCAAACATCCTGGAGCTCGACGTGGCAGCCAGAGCCGCCTCGCTGATGCCCGACCCGCTGGAGCGCATGCCGTTGCTCGTGGCTCTGGATTTTGGGCAAGCGTTCCCCAGCCTCAGCCAGAGTTACCTCTTCATCATTATTGAACCTCTTCGGCTTCCAACAGCACTTCTACAGGCGATACGCTCCCTCTACGCGATTGTCGCAGCCTTGGGCAGAGCTGCCGGTGTCACAAAGGTCCTCTTCCGAATCTGGTGCGGCATCATTCAGGGCTGCGCCTTATCTGGGAGCTTGTTCGCGGCAGCTACATCGCCGATTTTGGAAGACATGAGGCAGGGGATCGAACTTCGACATCGGGGAGTCTTTCGCGCGTGTGCTGATGACATCGGGGGAGTGCTATTCGATATGGTCGATATGAAATTCTTGTCGCGTGCGATGGCGGTGGCAGCCAAACTGGCCAGCTTGAAGCTCAAACCAGCTAAGTGTGTGATTGTTCCACTGGCAGGTCCATTCTCGGCTGTGCTTCAGCAGCGTGTGCTTGTCTTCTTGCAACAACAGTTGTCAGCCTGGTCTACCTTCAAAGTTGAGGCCGCTCTGCTGTACCTGGGGATTTGGATGGGTCCTGCGGCATCGCTCCTTCAGTCATGGTGCGTCTGATGAGGGCCAGCAGAGAGGGGGCAGGCGAGCACCATAATCAGAGGAAGCAGGAGGGGACAGCGCAATTGTTTCATCTGGCACACATTCGTTGCCCTCGGACGTTGCTGTGTTCTTGCTCGCTGGAGCATTTCACACGTCTGCGGGACTGCACTGTCAATGCCACGTTTTCCATTGGTGTTGCTGCGTTTCTCCTTTGAATGCACGCCGCCTGGGGCGGCAGAGAGCTTGAGAGATCCATCCAACAAGTGTCGGATCTGCGACTGCCGCCGTGGACTGAGGAGCGGAGGAGAGGGGTCGGAGGTGGCGGGAGGGGGGGCATTCGGCGCTTCACCCTGGACCCAGCAGCTCCGCCGCATGAGTTTTAACTTAGTGTGCGCTGTGAGTATTCCTTTCTTGTGCCGTTGTGTGAGGCCTCATTGTATAAGTGGTCGATGGGGCCATATGGGGATTGATGCACACACATCGCTAATGCCATTTCGTCTTATTCGAGTAATGCGTGTCTCGTTTCCTCCTCGCGCAAATCTTCTTGCACCGATGCACCGGTTCCGCCGCGCGCATTTTCCTGGCTGTGCGAGTCCAGGGTTTTGCGTCGGGCTTGGCAGGCTGTGCGGGGCTGCGTGCGACAGTCGGACTAGACCAGCGGAACGCTGCCGGAGACCTTTCTCCAATATGGCTGGCGCCGCCTCGATGTCTGTGCGCACATGTGCTCGCTCGGCCCTCGGTCTGCTTCTCTTGGGGCACTGGAGGGGCTACGCGTCTGGCTGAGGATCGCCCCAGGCCTAGCTGCCTCCTATGCCGATACCAGGGCGCGCATGAATGTTTTCGTCTGGAGAAACATGCATCAGTAGGTGCTGCAATGCACCCTCCCGTCCCAAGTCTCCTCCCTCATGCACCCCTTCACGTGT